TTGCCCAATTCTTGTAGGAAACTCCGTAACCATACTAGCTCTTTTGCAGATTCTGAAACTGTAACATATTCAGCTTCTGTTGTTGAAAGAGAAACTATCTTTTGCAAGGAAGAACTCCAAGAAACAACAATGCCTCCTAGAGTGTATATATAACCTGTAGTACTCGTTCTGCTATCAACATCTCCTGCTAGATCAGCATCTACAAAGTCTTCAAATTTCAAATTGCCAGCTGTGAAAGTAAGACATGTCTTCGATGAGCCTTTTAAGTACCTCATGATCCATTTTACTGCCTCCTAATGCTACTTTCCAGGATTGCTTATATATCGGGTTACAACTCCCATTGCATGGGCAATGTCTAGTCTAGTACAGATCATAGCATACATCAAAGAGCCGATAGCTAAGGCGTATGGAATCTGATCCATGTATCCACGTTCTAGCTCAGTTTTTGGTGACTGGTCTCTACTGAGCTTGAAATGATTTCTTAGAGGTGTACATACTAGCTTAGCATTATCCATACTAAACCTGCTGAGAACCTTCTTGACATACTCTGTCTGTGAAAGCTTTAGTATGCCTTTATCTTTGTCTCTGATGATTCTCATGCCAAGTATTTGTTTAGCAGCTCCCAGATCCTTCATTTCAAACTGTTTTGACAACTATTGCTTTAGCTTGTCAATCTCTTCCATGCTGGATCCTGCAATTAACATATCATCCATATATAGCAGTAAAATGATATAGGAGTTGTCAAAATGTTTGACATAGCAACAATGATCAACCTGACATTTTGTGTATCCCGTACTACACATGAAGTTGTCAAACTTCTTATACCATTGTCTTAAAGCTTGCTTCAAATCATATAAGCTCTTCTTTAGCTTGCAAACTTGATTCTCCTCTCCTTGTATTGCAAACCCCTCTGGTTGTTGCATGTAAATGTCTTCCTCTAATTCACCATGAAGAAATGTTGTTTTTACATCTAATTGTTCAAGATGTAAATTTTCTGCAGCTACTATCCCTAGAACAACTCTGATTGTTGTAAGCTTCACAACTGGAGAAAATATCTCAGAATAGTCGATCCCTTTCTTTTGCTAAAACCCTTTTACAACAAGTCTTGCCTTGAACCGTTTGCTACCATCATGCTTAGTCTTTACTCTATAAACCCACTTGTTTTGCAAAGCCTTCTTTTCTTCAGGCAGTGTGGTTAGCTCCCAAGTCTTGTTATTCAAGAATGACTCCATCTCATCCTTCATGGCTAACTCCCACTTGCTCGAGTTTCTATCTTGTAAGGATTCTTCATAAGTTAATGGTTCACCACCATCTGTCAGCAAGATATAATTTAGTAGAAGTGTGAACCGTTGTGGAGGCTTTATAGTCCTTGAAGACCTGCGAACAGCTGGTTCACTTGGCTCTACATTGTCTTGGGTAGTAGTGGTGGGTACTGATGTGCTTGAACTTTCTTGTAAGGACTTTTGAGTGGTAACATCGGGAAGCCCTTCTAATCGTATGAATTCTGAATCAGTTATCTCTGGTTCTGTACTTGATCTGTCTTTGTACAAAACTTTCTCGTTGAAGATCACGTTCCTGCTTTTGATAATCTTCCTGTTTTGATCATCCCAAAACCAAAATCCAAATTCTTCATCTCCATAGCCAATAAAGAAACATTTCTTTCATTTGGCATCCAGCTTGTTGCGAGCATCAGAATCTACATGCACATAGGAAACACACCCAAAGACCTTTAAATGAGAAAGTTGTACTTCTTTTCCTCTCCAAACTTCCTCAGGCAATCTGAACTCCAAAGGAACTGATGGTCCACGGTTGATCAAGTAAACTGCAATGTGAACTGCATCAGCCCAAAATGTTTGAGGTAACCCAAAATGCAACCTCATGCTTCTAGCTCGTTCATTGATGGTCCTGTTCATCCGTTCAGCAATGCCATTCTGTTGTGGTGTGCCTGGAACTGTCTTTTTCATTCTGATACCATTGAAAGCACAATACTCCTTGAAACCTCCATCAATGTATTCTCCTCCATTATCAGATCGTAAGCATTTCAACTTCAAACCTGATTCAGTCTCAACCATAACCTTTCATTTCTTGAATATATCAAACACATCAGATTTATTTTTTAGAAAGTAGACCCATACCTTCCTTTCCATTTCTTGAATGTGTCAAACACATCAGATTTATTTTTCAGAAAGTAGACCCATACCTTTCTGCTAAAGTCATCAATAAAAGTGACATAGTACCGAGAACCGCCAAGAGATGCTACTGGAGCTGGTCCCCATAAATTTGTGTGCACCAGTTTTAGCTTTCTTGGTCTTAAGGTCCCGCCAACCTTTAAGAAACTGAGCTTCTTCTGTTTTCTGAGAACACAACTTTCATAAATGTCTAGATCAACATTTTTTAACTCTGGCAGCTTTCCCTTTGACTGAAGTATCTTCATCCCCTTTTGACTCATATGGCCAAGTCTGCAATGCCATAGCTGTGTCTGATTTTCTGCTTCAATAGAGGCAATTATATCTGTTGATCTTGTGGTCATATACAGGGTGCCGGTTTTCTTTCCACGAGCCAAAACCATTGCTTCCTTTGATACCTTCCACATTCCTCCACAAAAAAAGGATTGAATGGCCACTATCATCAAGTTGTCCGACCGAGATCAGCTTCTTCTTTAGTCCAGGAACATGCCTTACATTTTGCAAGTTCCATATAGATCCATTCATTGTTTTGATTTGCACATCTCCTATACCCACAATATCCAATGGTTGTCCATCAGCCAGATAGACTACCCCGTGATCTCCAGCAATATAGTTTTGCATCATGTCATGGTGTGGGGTACAGTGAAATGAAGCTCCAGAATCAAGAACCCAATCATCAATAGGACTATGTACAGCAAGAATCAAAGCATCTTGTACCTCGTCTGTAGTGGCGTTTGCAGAATCAGCTTCAGGTTTTTTTGGTTTTGTGCAACTCCTCATGAAATGACCAGGTTTGCCACAATTTCAACATTCAAACTTGCTTTTACTTCTGTACCTGAATTTTGATCTGCCTTTAGATAAGCCTCTGTCTTGTCTCTTTCCTCGAGTGTTGATGTTGAGAGCTGAAACTTAACTTGAGCTTTCACCCGAGTCTTTCCTTCGTACTTCTTCAGCTAAAATCAGATCTCGGATGTCATCATATTTTAATTTGGATTTTCCAGCTGAGTTACTTACTGTTGTTCTCATACCTTCCCAACTGCTTGGAAGTGAAGCTAGCAAAATAAGTGCTCGGATCTCAGCATCAAACTCAATCTCAACAGATGATAATTGATTTGTTATGGTATTGAAATTATTGAGATGTTGTGTAATAGAGGTGTTTTTCGTCATCTTCAGGTTGAACAACTTCTTCATCAAGTGCACTTTGTTATTTGCTGATGGCTTCTCATACATCCCAGACAAGGCTTCCATCAATCTTGCTATGGATTTCTTTTTTGTAACATTATGAGCAACTCTTCTTGACAAGGATAGCCGGATAATGCCCAAAACTTGTCTATCAAGAATTTGTCAATCTTCTTCTGACATGTTTTCTGGTTTGCTCCCCAACAGAGGAAGATGAAGTTTCTTCCCATATAGATAGTCTTCAATTTGCATTTTTCAATATCCAAAATCAGTTCCATCAAATATTTCAATTCTCGGAGCCTTTATTTCATCAGCCATTTTTAATCTTTCTCGGATTCGAATCTGTAAAATCTGACCTTATAGATGTGTCCAGAATGGCCAAAAATGTTGGAAACGACACTGAGATCACCCAAATCGGACTTCGGATGGCTAAGATTTAAACAATCAAACTTTGGAATCATTGGACGCTGTAGATGAAGCCACGTGTTAGAAGGAATAGTCGCTGCGCCACACCGGATCAAAACCCAGGATGTTGACATGGATATGCTGATGTGTCGGCCACGTAAGATATGCGGGCCCCATAATTCTGACGTGGCAGAACCACATGGTTTTTTGCTGACATGGTAGTGATGATGTGGCAGATGATGTGGCAGGTGACATGGCTGCTGACTGGGTTGAACTGCTTGCATGGCTGCTGAGGTTGCGGGTTAACTCGGCTTAGATTGCAGGAAATGGGCGAGGAAGACGCGTGACGCCCGTGAGGCACGACGATACGCGGGGGCAGTGCTGGTGGTGGCGCATGCAGGCGCGTGCGGGCATGCAGGACGTCGGATTTTCCCCGGCTTTCACTAGTGGATTCCTCTCGTCTTCCTCTTCATGATGGTATGTTCAAAAACACGTTTTGAGAACTTTGATTTTTGAGTTTGGATCAAACACCCTCTTTTTCAAGAACAAGCTCTGATACCAGTTGTTAGGACATTCAAGCATTCAAACACACATCAATTTACGTGGTTCGGCAACTTACCTACTCCACGGAGCTACTGTTTTGTATTAATCAAGCTCAAAAGCAATACAAACAACAAAACAAGGAGGAGAAGAAAAACTTCGCTACTCAACTTAACTCTCACTCTAAGCTCTCTCTGTGTTTCTCTCTATTTCGTGGTGTTCTCAGCTATCAATGACACTCTCTATTTATAGCTGATGTGGGAGACAAGCTTCTTTCTTTGGTCAACAATGGTGGGCAACAATTTCTTTGGTTAGGCACCTACCATTGACTCTTGCATTGCAATCACATGGCTGCCACCTACTATTTGTGTTCATACATAACAAAAACCACATAAATATCACGAAAAAGGAAAAGGAAAAACCATACACGCTATTACACTCAATTTATAATGATGGTTGAGGTTCAAACAAACAAGAAAAGGGAAAAACCTCTATGCCAGTTAAATCTCCAGTATTAATCTTCTCGACGGAGCTATTTTCCACCATGCTGGGCAAGGGACAAGAAACGATTGATGAGCTTTCCTGGTTTAACGATGTTTAATGTAGTGCCCATGAATGAGACATACCAACGGAATTGCAATATTCCAAAGATTAAGACAGGAAGGAATGAAGCAATGGAAAGGAGTAATGTTGTCAACCTCCTCTCTGTCTGAATGAGTATCAAAATTGTGGCGCCATAGGATAGCATGGTCGTTAACACAGAAAAGAAGAGGAAGGAGAAGCCAACAATAAGTTTTCGAGGAAGAGAGATGTGGAATTCTTGTAGCTCAAATGGAGAGGTCAACAAAGAGAGAAACACCACCAGCGAAGTCAAGGAGCTTGCTAAGGAGACAACATTAGAGACAGTGAAACAGTGAAAATCAGAAAATAGGGAGAGTTGATGAAGATGGGCTTGCCATTTTCATCAGAACCTCCGGGCACAGTATAGGCGGCAGCAAAGACAACAGTTGCAACAAGTGCAGCTACAGTGGAACATGACTGAGATGTTTCCTTGATCCATGTTTGTGCCTTTTCCAGTTGCTTCTCGTGGGCTATTTCGAAGCACTCCCTTGCAGTCATTCCATCTTTGTTCAGAAGCGGAACATAATGAGAAGGAATTACGTCTTGCACTCGCTGCAATAATTGGGAGATAAATATGGTTGTTATTGCTAAATAAAACTACGAATTACAAAAATGTTATTACTAGAGCGCAGATAGTTTTTATTTGTGAATAATATTAAAGTTTTTCCTTAAGTAGTTGGTTAGGAGAATTAGTTCAGCCTGATGTCTTATTAAGTTCGAGTTTTATAACTCGCGTCTTGGAGAGGTGGCATGTCTACCTATCATTAGCATTAAAAAGGAATCTTTTTACAGTTTAACGGTTTCTGTAAAACCTTAATTGGATTGGATAACTTGGTTGAAACAAATGTTTAGTAGGATTGGTGCTCTTATAACTTGTATCAAGTAAAGATAAAGGGATGAAAAGGGTTCACCTCAAACCATTTCAACTCCTCCTGAAGTTGGAGTGCAGGCCCAGGCTTGGTTACTCCACTGTTTTTCTTCGTATCTGCAACATGGTGCAACAATGTGTTTCCGCTATAATCAAGAAATCGACGCATTCTAGCCATTGGTATTTTCTGTTCCTTCACAATATCGATGATCTTTTTCTGGCGATACATGACGGCCACATTCAAAATGCTCCGATTCATTTCATCGCGCTGGTCAATAGCATAAGGATGGAGTGCTATTATCAGTACTACAATCTCTTCTATTCCCCTTCTGGTTGCAGTAAACAATGGGATCTCCTTTTTAGTAGTTAACGATGACAATATCGATACAGAAGCTCTTTCAGTGTCTTTTGTAGAAGTATTTTCTCCTTTATTATTTTTTTTCCCACGCATTTCTCGCTCTTCTTCTTCTTCATCTTCTTCTTTATTTTGGTCTTCCTCTGTTATGGTGACACTTTTCAATGACTCATCTTGCTCTATTAGGCTTTTGGCGAATCTCAAAGCAAATACATGCCTTTTCTTCTCGTTCCAGATTCTTTCTAGCCATCATCCTACATCATGCTCGTGCGAAAGGGAATGAAATTAAACATTGATGAGAGCTAGACATTTTTATGAAATGGAAAGAAATGTTAATAATGATAGTAGAAGAATGAAAAAAAGAGAGAGTTAATGATAGTAAAAGGTGAAAAAATAGAGACATGTTAAATTATCATATAGAAAACAAAACAGCAACAAAAGAAGAAATCGGATGGTAGAAGAAATGCATCTAAGTCGTGCCACTATAAAAGTGAGACACATAGTTTTTCTTTTTTTTTTCTTTGAGGAAGAGGCTCTGTCTCTAATGACTCACAAGGATTATTTGAGTAAGCATCTAAAACTAGGATGTGAACCAAAACCACTTTATAACATCGAATCACATTTCTTTCAAGTATAAAGATTATGTCAGCAAAAGTTTGAACTGTTATCTTAAAAATAATTTTATATTAATTCACTAATACACCTTTTTAAGTGACAATTGGTGTTAAAAATGGAGGAGGAGAACTACTCTGCTTGTGTAGCCCGTGACCACTAAAAAAAAAAACTAGGACTCAGTTATATTCGAACTATGCCATGAAATTTAAAATTCTCAATAATACCTTTAATTAGGATCTTTAAATAGTTTAGCAGGCCGCCTCTTTGATTCCTCTCCGAGCTGCTCCCCAGATCTGCTGAGTTCCTCCCCTGACCGCTCTCAGGATCTCCCACCGTATTCCTTGTCTGGCACCAACTTTCTACCTTTGATTTTACCTCGAAGGGACTCGGAACAGGAAGGCCTGCAACATAATTTAGAGTTGAAATTATTACATATAAGTGTGTGCGTGTGTCCATGGTATACTGACAAGAAATATGTAGGCAATATTGTAAGGTGTAATAATGTGGTTGGAGTAGGCATACAGCAGTAGATGAGTCTTTTACATATGCCCATGGGAAATCCACTCTCAAATGCAGTTGGCATTTCGGCTAGAAGTTGAAGAGTAGATATTTGATTTTTGTCCTTCAAGCTGGCGAGCGATTTATCCAGTTGTAGCAACAGAAAAGCTGTTTCTGCATTTATGAAATTAGGAAGACAGAAATTATACAATATCTTAAATATGTGTACTTTTAAAATTTGAGAGCTCAAAAAGAGAGAAATTTTTACCAAATTTTCGCCCTAAGATAGCAGCGCTAAGGATGGACAGTTCATCTTCCTTTCTCTTGCGGTGAATTAATAACAGGCCATTATCATCCACGCATTGTTCTGGTTTGGAACGGATTAAAAACTGCACTATTTCTGTCTCAGCAAATCCAGCAGCTGTAAACAATGGGGTTTCACCGTAGTTGTTTGCAATGGAAAGCTGGTCTGCACAACGTTCTACCAAGATCCTTACAGCCTCAAAATTGCCATAGATGGTTGCCTCGTGAAGAGCCGTATTTCCAAATTGGTTTTTTCTCTTGAGAAATGCCTCAGGTAAAGATCTTTACTTCATGATTTCAAGTAAATCTTTAAGTGGTTGCTCTTTTTTGCTGATTACAGCTAGATGAAGTACATTATCCTTAGAGGCCGTAACTGGGCAACTGATTTTTTTGAAATGTTTCTGATAGTAGTCAATCATGCGTTGCCACTCTTCCTTCATGGCTGCTTTATAAGGTTCTTCCAGTTCTATCTCAGATGTTATCTACATAAAATTACGAAGTAACTATTGTTAATGAACAATCTCAACTCAAAGCTAATTATACTCTTCGGTAGAATATTCCTAATCAAATTTATATATATTAACTCACAATACCAATCATTAATATAATGGAAAATAAATTTATCACTCAAAGAGAACTGCAAGTATATCTATTAGGATTGTTGTCATTAGTGTGCAACAATCATACAACATCTATGGTCCTACTCTAAGAAGGAGGGTTACCATTGTCAAAAGGCTACAATGATACGTTGGTATTGTTGGGGATTCGAATCAATGATATACTGATATTTGCTTATAGGAGGCTTAACACATTGATATAATATTTAATGTGGTTCGATAAATTGTCTATATCTACGGGAGAGTTGATATTATTAGAGATAGAGGAAGGATACAAAACAAATCTTTATGCAACAGTGTGTGTGAGAACAATGAAAGTAGAGTTAAGTGAAGTGATCCCTCTTTCTCCATGTATGTTGTAACCCTTTCTTTATCTATCTTTAATAATATAGACTTCTCCAATAAATGTAGGTAGTTTGCCTAACCATATTAAATATTATGTTAGTATGCTTAGCATTCAATGAACAACTATCAGTACATCACCGATCTAGAATCCTCAATAATATCATGCACGTGCATCACTTTTAATAATGGACATGTGTTAGAGGATGATGGTAGTTTATGAGGTAGTTCATAAGTTTTAGTGATTAGGGATTGAAATGAAAATAGTTTGATAATTAAGGTTTTTAATTGTAGTTAGTGGCGGAGACAAGGGGCTGACCTAAGAAGGAAATTGTTTTTCTAGTCCCTCCCTTGATAAGATTTATAGTTTTAGCCTAAATAGTAAAATAACTGAAATGGCCTTTTTAATTTTATTTTCTGGCCCTGTTCCTGATTGTAGTAGTTAAGTAAAAGAAAGATTTAGTTTATAGTTTGGAAATGGTTGAAAGATGTGGGATACACAATGCAAAAACTTTGTTGATAGGAGATATAATACAAGGAGATGAATTATACGAAAAAAGATTTTAAGCTTAGCATTGTTTTTGGCTTACCTTACAAGTGATGATTGCATGTCTATTTATAGCCCTCTTAACCACCCTAAATGGAACAATTTAGACAAACTTTTCACCATAGAACTTGCAAGAATTTTAGCCAATTCACTAGAAAATTTTGGAGTTCTTTGAATAGTGGATGGGCATTCTTTCTTTCATAGAACATTCCTAGTGTTTGTTTCATTTCTCTATAACTTTCCAAACTTAACTTAGCACTAACTTATAGTTTATATTGTTTTCTAGAATTGACCTCTAGAATCTTCTTTAAGTGCATTAATAATTTAACACTCATTGCACTTAACTGATACTCTAAGTTGATATCGTACTGCCTCAAACTTAACTTATGGAAGCGCTTTTGTAAAGATATCTGCTAATTATTCTTCAGTCTTGCAATATTCAAACTTGATATTTTTACCGCCAACTGCTTTTTATAGAAAGTGATGTTTGATTGATATATGCTTAGTCCTACTATTGAATACATGAATTTTTATCAAAGAAATCGTTGACTTATTATTACATAATATCGTTGTAGATCCATTAATTTCTTGGTATTAGGTTTAGATTTATAAGACCTTACATTAAGCTTAGACTGAAAAGCACTCTTAATAAAGTCTTCTTCGAAGTACTGATGTGTCTTTTCTTACGTGCTTCTAAAGAACCTATTAGTTCAGCTACTGAAATCTTTTGACTGTTCTATAGTAGTAACTATAGAGTCTTTTTCTTATAAGATTGACTAGAAATTTTTCAACAACCCTTTAATCAATAATATTTTCTCCTACAGTTCTCATTTGATTTACAACTACTTCAATTCTTCCATGATAATATTTAATGGTCTCAGAATCTTTTATTTTAATATTTTCCATCTCTCTTCTTAGTATTTGGAGTCTAATGGTGCATACCTTATAATCGCCGCGAAACTCCTTCTGCAACATATCCCATGCTTGCTTTGCCGTAGAAGCTTCAGTAATCCTAGAAAAAATTGTATTAGCTAGTGACTGCTGAATTAAATATAGGGCACTAGCATCCTTATGCTCTTTCACCTCCAACTCTTTTTGTTGTGCTTCTTCTAGAAAAGAGATATTTGTTGGCTTGTTAAGTCCATACATAGCAATGTCTGTAAGATTTTGAGACTTGAAGAGTGTCATCATTTTTTTTTCCCACAAATCATAGTAGCTACCATCAAAAATAGGAAGTGACATTGAGAAAAATTGTGATGAATTTGTGTTGGCCATATAGACTCTAATGCCCACTTACGAAATTGGACTAGGATGATGACAGTTTATGAGGTTTTAGTGAATAGGGGTTGAAATGAAAGTAGTTTGATAGTTAAGATTTTTAATTATAGTAGTTTAGTAAAAGAAAAACTTAGTTTATATTTTGGAAATGGTTGAAGGATGTGGGTTACACAAAGGAAAAAACTTTGTTGATAGGAGATATAATACAAGGAGAAGAGTTTTGGGACAGATTCTAAGCTTAGCATAGTTTTTGGCTTACCTTACAAGTGATGAGTGCATGGCTATTTATAGCCTTCTTAACCAATCTAAATAGAACAAACTAAATTTCTAGCCATAGAACTTGCTCGAATCATATAAAATTATAAAGTTCTTTTAATTGTGGAAAAGCATTCTTACTAGAATATTTCTAGTGGTTGTTTGATTTCTCTAGAACTTTCTTAACTTAGCACTAACTTGTAGTTTGTAGTGTTTTCTTGAATTGATATCTAAATTCATCTTTAGGTGTATTCATAATTTAACAAAATGATTGGAATGCTGCTACAGCTAGCTCTTGGCAAAATCAATGTCAACAAGAAAACTTGTTTCCCAGAGATGACTACAAAGAAACAACCTAGCTTGTAGTTTTTCTTAATTAAGCCGTTTGAGAAGCCTATAAAGAACTATTCCTTGTTAAAAACAAAAGTAAATTAGTATCTGTGTTTTGCTTGTTTAGTTTATAGAGTGAAACTATTATAAGAACATATAATAAAGGTGAAGTCTTATTTCTTTTATAAGAACAAAATAAAGATATGATTATTCTCCTATAGAATAAAGCGTCTGATAATGCTTTGTAAAAGAGACATATCGGAGAGGCTAACAACGGCAGGTCCATTCAGCCCAGTACTTGACGGCTGCCAGTTTTCTCATGTATTAAGTGATACATTAATATACATTAATCCAAATGTACGGTCACAAAATATATTAAGATAAACTCATTGTAGCATTGTTTTTACATGTCAGTATAAATGTATATATTGTGTTGTGTTTTCTATTATGGTATCAAAGCCTCTAGCTTAACTACATAATCCACTTGAGGTGTTTCAGATGTTGTATTATGTGCAACCTAAAAGAAAAGTCGACAAGGAAACCTTTTTGGTTTTACAATGAAAACAACTAAGAATCCCATTTCTTATTGTTTGAGCAACACGTCCGTCGTTATTTCATCTAGCCTAAAGTTGAATTCAGACGAACATCATGGAATTAATATGTTAGATGAGATGGATAGCAAATGCATGTTACCAAGAAGGAACATGAATTGCAACAAGAGTGGTGTTTTTAGAATAATATTTTGTATTCGGAATTACTGAGAGACCCTAAAAAAATTCTCGGTACAAAAAAATAATTTAACCCTTGAAATTTAATTCAATTTCAAGGATTTCAAACAATTTATAAGTTTTTTAATATGTAATCCTGATGAAGCTGGTTGCTTCAATTAGGATGTTTATCAAATCTTTTCTGTTAGAATAAAACTCCAAGCCTATAGGGTTGTTCTAGTTTATAGGAATGTTGTTATCTAATCTTGTGAGATTCCTTACAATGCTGCATTTTATTTATTTTTCGTTATTTGTAAGGATATTTAATGAGCCACACTTATGTTTCAATATTTAAGCAACCTTGACCATTTTGTGCAGTTTTAAGCAAGCTGTTGTTCTTGTTCATTAAGTGTAACAAATCCATTCAACATCTTTTATATTTGTTTATATTTTTGTATTTTTTAATATAAAATATGTTCACTAACATGTAAGAGGCTCTAAGAATAATATGATTTTATAAGATTCAGTTTTCTAACTACTTGGTCAATTTACACTATATCAAACAACTATTTTAATTTAAAAATTTTAATTGTTTAAATTGGTAGGAGATTTTTCAAAAATAAAATAAATAAAATTAAAATCAACTTTCTAACATTCCATACTATCTTCACCCATCTTACCTTTTTGTTTTTGTTTTTTAATAACTAAATAATACTCGGTATTGATCATTTAAAATGCAATTTTCCTTTTCATTGAATTCTTGCAGATGAGCTCCTTCGTTGATATTTTCTTCAACATTAATAGTTGAATTAACCTGATTTCAGAAGTATATATTATTACTTTTTTTATATATACATTAAAAACTTGATTAATTGATCATTACAGAAATAAATATAATTAAACTAGATTTATGTCAAAAAACATTTTCTTGGTTCAGTGTAAAAAAATGTATTCCATTTGTTAAACCATAACTTTGCAGCTTGAAATCGAGATTCACGTTCGTGCTTCTAAAATAAACAAAGCAAAAAAGAAGAAAGTAAATTATTCTTTGTTTTCCCTTTTCCTTTTGCTATAATCCTACTTTAATTGTTCTCATACATGACAACAAGGATCACACTACAACTTTAAATTAAGAAGCATAGAATATAAAATTGTGTTCCACGTTCATGAGAAATTGTCCTTCACTTCTATTTCTAACAAGCCAAAGGGACATCATTTCCTTCAGCTAAGACTATAGCTAGAGTGCAATGGAAATGATCACCAACCAGCTACGAGGCTAGCTAAAGGGTAACTAGCCTGTCGTGAAACATGAGATCAAATGCTTTATATATATATATATATTCTTTGTTCTTTTATGTTGATAGAGAGGTAATATAATATATTTCTCGGATCTCTTTATGAGTTTAAATTTTGGGGGTTAAATAGAAAAAAATTAATATTAATGAACTAAATTAAAATTAAAAAAAAAACAAAGAGAAAAAACCTACAGGAAGAAAAAGAAAAAAATTTGAATCAACAAGGTTAACTCATCAAACTTAGGATTTGCGTCATGAAAGTCTAATAATTAAATAGAAAAACATTTAATGTTAAAAAACTAAATTAAAAAATTAATTAAAATAAAATAAAATAAAATAAAGGCATTAACTTTTTTACTGTGGACAACACGGTGTAGTGCACAGCAAAAGGCTTAAAAGGAAAAAAAAAAAGGCATACTTCACAAGTTAATTTTTTTCTTACACAAAAAAACAAAAAAAACTAAGATCTTAAAGTGTTAGGTTTTTTGATAAAGAAATATTCAAAAGCCTTGGGTCTAGTTCAGTATAAAAGATCATTAAGAACTTGATTAATTGATCATTACATAAATAAATATAATTAAATTAGATTTATGCCAAAAAAAAACACTTTCTTCAGTGTAAAAAATGCATTCCATTTGTTAAACCATAACATTTCAGTTTGAAATCGAGATTAACGTTCGTGCTTCTAAAATAAACAAAGCAAAAAAGAAGAAAGTAAATTATTCTTAGTTTTCCCTTTTCCATTTGCTATAACCCTACTTTAATTGTTCTCATACATGAGAACAATGATCACACTACAACTTTAAATTAAGAAGCATAGAATATAAAATTGTGGTTCACGTTCATTACAAATTGTCCTTTAATTCTATTTCTAACAAGCCAAAGGGACATCATTTCCTTCAGCTAAGACTATAGCTAGAGTGCAATGGAAATGATCACCACCCAGCTACGAGGCTAGCTAAAGGGTAACTAGCCTGTCGTGAAACATGAGATCAAATGCTTTATATATATATATATATTCTTTGTTCTTTTATGTTGATAGAGAGGTAATATAATATATTTCTTGGATCTCTTTATGAGTTTAAATAGAAAAAAAAAATATTAATGAACTAAATTAAAAAAAAAATTAATTAAAAAGGAAAAAACAAAGAGAAAAAACCTACAGGAAGAAAAAGAAAAAAATCTAAATCAACAAGGTTAACTCATCAAATTTAAGATTTATATCATAAAAATCTAATAATTAAATGGAAAAAAAACTAAAATCATTAACTTTTTTACTGTGGATAACACTATGTAATTCACAGTAAAAAGCTTAGAAAAAAGAAAAAGAAAACAAAAACATACCTCACACGTTAATTTTTTTCTTACACAAAAATTATAAAAAAAGACTAAGATCTAAAAGTGCTAAGTTTTTTTGTAAAGATATATCAAAGAGTTTTGGGTCTACTTTAGTGTAAAAGATCATTAAAAACTTGATTAATTGATCATTACATAAATAAATATAATTAAATTAAATTCATGTAAAAAAAAACATTTTCTTAGTTCAGTGTAAAAAAATGTATTCCATTTTAAACCATAATATTTCAGTTTGAAATCGAGATTCACCTTCGTGCTTCTAAAATAAACAAAGCATAAAAGAAGAAAGTAAATTATTCTTTGTTTTCCCTTTTCCTTGTGCTATAATCCTACTTTAATTGTTCTCATACATGACAACAAGGATCACACTACAACTTTAAATTAAGAAGCATAGAATATAAAATTGTGTTCCACGTTCATGAGAAATTGTCCTTCAATTCTATTTCTAACATGCCAAAGGGACATCATTTCCTTCTGCTAAGACTATAGCTAGAGTGCAATGGAAATGATCACCAACCAGCTACGAGGCTAGCTAAAGGGTAACTAGCCTGTCGTGAAACATGAGATCAAATGCTTTATATATATATATATTCTTCGTGCTTTTCTGTTGATAGAGAGGTAATATAATATATTTCTTGGATTTCTTTGAGAGTTTAAATTTTGGAGGTTAAATAGAAAAAAATTAATATTAATGAACTAAATTAAAAAAAGATTAATTAAAAAAAAAAAAAACAAAGAGAAAAAACTTACAGGAAGAAAAAGAAAAAAATCTTAATCAACAGGGTTGACTCATCAAATTTAGAATTTATATCATAAAAGTGTGATAATTAAATGGAAAAAATTTAATATTAAGAAACTAAATTAAAAAATTAATTAAAAAACAAAGAAAAAAGCCAAAAAAACACTAAAGACGTTAACTTTTTCATTGTGGACAACATTGTGTAATTCACAATAAAAAGCTTAAAAAAAAAGAAGAAAACAAAGACATACATCACATGTTAATTTTTTTCTTAGACAAAAAATATCAAAAAAGGCTAAGATGTAAAGGTTTTAGGTTTTTCTATATAGATATATCCAAGAGTCTTGGGTCTAGTTCCGTGTAAAAGATCATTAACAACTTGGTTAATTGATCATTATAGAAATAAATATAATTATATTAGATTTATGTCAAAAATACATTTTCTTAGTTGAATGTAAAAAATGTATTCCATTTGTTAAACCATAACATTTCAGTTTGAAATCGAGATTCACCTTCGTGCTTCTAAAATAAACAAAGCAAAAAAGAAGTAAATTATTCTTTGTTTTCCCTTTTCCTTTTGCTATAATCCTACTTTAATTGTTCTCATACATGAGAACAATGATCACACTACAACTTTAAATTAAGAAGCATAGAATATAAAATTGTGGTTCACGTTCATTACAAATTGTCCTTAAATTGTATTTCTAACAAGCCAAAGGGACATCATTTCCTTCTGCTTAGACTATAGAGTGCAATGGAGATGATCACCAACCAGCTACTGGGCTAGCTAAAGGGTAACTAGCCTGTCGTGAAACATGAGATCAAAAGCTAATATATATATTCTTTATTATTTTGTGTTGATAGAGAGGTAATATAATATTATTTCTCGGATCTCTTCGAGAGTTTAAATTTTGCAGGTTAAAATAAATTTTTAACATTATATCAGGACGTTAATTAGCAAGAGATCACGATAAGGGTTAAAATTAAAAGTGTAATGAATAAATGATTTGTTAAAATGAAAGTGTAATTTTTCCATAGGTTTGTATGAAAATTGGTAAAATATTTTGGTCTTTATTTTGATAGAACAAGTGTCCATGTCACGACCCGAATTCCGGATTCATGACCGGTACATAGATAAGGTTCTCCTCCAAGATTTTTATTGCTATGCGACCTCAAACTTACACACAAACTTATTCTTCAAAACTCAATCATAATTCAACGCAGCATTAATAACAAAATCAATTCCATAATATAATTGAATTATCTTTATACAAAAGTTCATATGAATTCATAGTTTTGGAGCATTAACTAGACATAAAAGGAAATGTACAAATTTACAACCAAAAGAGTAGATTTTGAAGGTCCAATAAAAGTAACCTGCTATCAAGCTATAAGCCTGAAAAGGATAAATAATGAGAGGGTGAGTTCAACAAATTAGTGAGTAGATAACATTCAATATACACACATGAAATAATATAACAAGGATGAATATATATATATATATATAATTATAATTATGACTTTAGGTTCTTATGGAAAGGTTTCTTAAATAGGTCATAACAAGAAAATCATATGGTAAAACTCATCAGAAAATCAAAATGTAATGAGCATGAGGCTCCGTACTATCAGAAAATCATATGGAAGGAATGAAGCAATGGAAAGGAGTAATGATGTCAACTTCCTCTCTGTCTGAATGAGTATCAAAATTGTTGCCCAAAGGATAGCATGGTTGTTAACACAGAAAAGAAAATGAAGGATGTTGGGTATGCGACCAAAGTCCCACATTGATTAGAAATGGGGTGGATCATGGTTATATAAGGTTGGACAAATATCTCCATTGGTATGAGGTCTTTTGGGTATAGTCCAAGAGCAAATCCATGAGGGTTTAGGCTCAAAGTGGACAATATTATACCAATGTGGAGATAAGTGGTGTCCATAATCCCTACAAGTGATATCAGAGCCATGCCCTAGAGTTAGCCATGATGGATGAATCCTCGAAATGCCTAACAAAAGGTGGTGAGCTCTAATTAGATCACGATCATGGATCAGCTCTATTAGATAGGCGGTGTGCTCTGGATGCTTCATGGACGTATCCAGAACCCAACATGGTGAAGAGAAGTTGACTTAGAAAGAGCAAACTCTCAAGTCAGGTAGTGTTCTTCGGATGCTTCATGGACGTGTCCTAATCCCAACACGATGAAGTAAAGAGAAGTAGAGAATGAAGAATCTTGGTTGGTAGAGAGTGGACAGATGGATAAATGATCGTTTGAGGAGAGGCTCAGTGGTCTTTTGTTTGAGGGAAGGATTGCTAGGTATGCGACTAAAGTCCCACATTAGTTAGAAATGGAGAGGATCATAGGTATATAAGGATGGACAAATATATCCATTGGCATGAGGCTTTTTGGGTATAGTCTAAGAGCAAATCCATGAGCGTTTAGGCCCAAAGTGGATAATATTATATTAATGTGGAGATAAGTGGTGTCTATAATCCCTACAAAGGAGAAGCCAACAACAAGTTTTTGAGGAAGAGAGATGTGGAATTCTTGTAGCTCAAATGGAGAGGTCAGCAAAGAGAGAAACACCACAAGCGAAGTCAAGGAGCTTGCTAAGGAGACAACATCAGAGACAGTGAAAATCAGAAAATAGGGAGAGTTGATGAAGTTGGCTTGCCTTTTTCATCAGAACCTCCGGGCACAGTATAGGCGGCAGCAAAGACAACAGTAGCAACAAGTGCAGCTACAGTTGAACAAGACTGAGCTGTTTCCTTGATCCATTTTGGTGCTTGTTTCAGTTGCATCTCTTAGCGAATTTTCGAAGCACTCTCTCGCAGTCATTCCATCTTTGTTCAGAAGCGGGACATAATGAGGAGGAATTTCCTCTTTCACTCGCTGCAATAATTGGGAGATAAATATGATCAATAAAACTACGAATTACAGAAATGTTATTACTAGAGCGCAGATAGTTTTTTTTTTTTTTGTGAATAATATTAAAGTTTTTCCCTAAGTAGTTGGTTAGGAGAACTAGTTCAGCCTGATGTCTTAATTAAGTTCAAGTTTTATTACTCGCGTCTTGGAGAGGAATCCTTTTACCGTTTAACGGTTCCTGTAAAACTTGTATCAAGTAAAGACAAAGGGAAGAAAAGAGCTCACCTCAAACCATTTCAACTCCTCCTGAAGTTGGAGTGCAGGCCCAGGCTTGGTTACTCCACTGTTTTTATTCATATCTGCAACATGGTGCAACAATGTGTTTCCGCTTTTATCAACACCTTGACGCATTCTAGCCATTGGTAAATTCTTTTCCTTCACATTATCAAAGATCTTTTTCTGGCGATACATGACGGCCACATCCAAAATGCTCCGATTCATTTCATCGCGCTGGTCAATAGCATGAGGATGTAGTTTTATTATCAGCTCCACAATCTCTTGTATTCCCCTTCTAGTTGCAGTAAACAATGGGATCTCCTTTTTAGTTGTTAATGATGACAATACAGATACAGAAGTTTGTGCTCTTTCATTGTCTTTTGCATTGCTAGTGATTTCAGAAGTTTCTGCTTTATCAGTTTCTTTTGCATTGCTAGTGTTTTCAGAAGTTTTTTCTCCTTTTTTATTTTTTTTCCACACATTTCTTGCTCTTCTTCATCTTCTTCTTCTTCTTTATTTTGGTCTTCCTTTGTTATGGTGAAACTTTTCAATGACTCATCTTTCTTTATTAGGCTTTCGGCGAATGTCAAAGCAAATACATGCTCTCTTTTCTGGTTCCAGATTCTTTCTAGCCAACATCCTACATCATGCTCGTGCGAAAGGGAATGAAATTAAACATGGATGAGAGCTTCACATTATTATGAAATGGAATGAAATGTTAATAATGATAGTAAAAGGTGAAAAAATAGAGGCATGCTAAATTATCATATAGAAAACAAAACAGCGAGAAAAGAAGAAATCGGATAGTAGGAGAAATGCATCTAAGTCGTGCCACTGTAAAAGTGAGCCACATATTTTTATTTTTTTTTATATTTTTTTAGGAAGAGGCTCTATCTCTGATGACTCACAAGGATTATTTGCGTAAGCTTCTAAAAATAGGATGTGAACCAAAACCTCTTTATTGGGTCAAGCCATGAATTAAATTTCAAATTCTTATAATCTAATCTCGATATATAAAGGAGAACTGGCCTCAGTTGTGTCCAATACCTTTAAGGACCTTTAAATAGTTGAGTAGGCCTCCTCTTTGATTCCTCTCCAAGTCACTCCCCAGATCTCCTGAGTTCCTCCCCCGACCGCTCTCACGATCTCCCACCTCCTTCCTTGCCCGGCGGCAACTTTCTAACCTTGATTTTACCTCGCAGGGACGTGGAACAGGAAGGCCTGCAACATAATATAGAGTTCAAATTATTACGTATATATGTATGTGTATGTCCATGGTATTCAAACAGGGAATGTGTAGGCAATATTGTAAGGTCTAATAATGTGGTTGGAGTAGGCATACACCAGTAGATGAGTCTTTCAAATATGCCCAACCGAAATCCACTCTCAAAATCGGTTGGCATTTCGGCTAGAAGTTGAAGAGTAGATATATGATTTTTGTCTTTCATGTTGACGAGCGATTTATCCAGTTCTAGCAACAGTAAAGCTGTTTTTGCATTCATAAAATTAGGAAGACAAAAATTATACAATATCTTATGTATGTATCATTTTAAATTTGAGAATTCTATAAAGAGAGGAATTGTTACCAAAGTTTTTCCCTATGATAGCAGCGCTAAGGATGGACAGGTCATCTATCGATCGCTTGATGTAAGTTGGTAATAAATGGGCATTATCATCCACGCATGGTTCTGGTTTGGATCTGATTAAAAACTCCACTATTTCTGTCTCAGCAAATCCAGCAGCTGTAAACAATGGGGTTTCACCAAACTGATTTGAAATGGTAATTAGATCTGGACAACGTTCTACCAATATCCTTACAGCCTCATAATAGCCATGGATGGTTGCCTCGTGAAAAGCCGTATTTCCAAATTTGTTTCCTTTCTTGAGAAATGCCTCAGGCAAAGATCTTTCCTTCAAGATTTCAAGTAAAGCTTTAAGTGGTTGCTCTGTTTTGAATTGCACAGCTAGATGAAGTACAGTATCCTTAGAGGGCGTCACTGGACTGTCGATTTTTTCGAAATGTTCCCGATAGTAGTCAATCACGCTTTGCCAGTCTCCATTCATGGCAGCTCCATAACGCGCTGTAGCAAATTTGTCAACCTTTTTCCAACCATCATGACTTTGTTGTTGTAGTAGGTAGTAGTAGTTGGTTGATATTTATTAGGTTGCACATGGACTGCTGCCAAGACCCTCATACTTCTCCTTTAAACAGAGACGAGAGAGTGAGAGATAAGCATAGTGTGTGCAGAGGTGGTGAATGCAACTATGAGAGTGAGAAAATGCAGATTTGAGAGAAACACCGAGTATAAGAGTGAAATACCGGGATTTGTGGGATTGTACTGGGTTGAGTTGAGTGTTTGTATCATTCCTCCAATAATATACAATCTGCTGCCTCCGTGGAAGTACCTGATTTTGGAGAACCACGTAAATCTGTTGTTTGTGTTTTATTTGTGTTTGCTTTCAGCCCAGTATGCGCAACAAATTGGTATCAGAGCATTAGGGAAGCTAGATCACTGAAAACACGTTTTTTAGCTCTCTGTTCAAAGTTGCAGAATTTTCAAAGTTCTCAGATCTTGATTTTGACCACTTGCGGAGATTCCTCTCGTCAATACAAGTCCAGCGATATAAAGATCATTAAAATTAGAGTTGAAACAAGCCCTGTAGAGCTCGCCAAAGTTTCGTTGGAAATTCATCGGAAAAACCAGACAGTGCCGGAATTCTCACTTGAGAAGACAGCCATGTCATCCGACACGTTGGTGCTGAGTCATCATCCACGTCACCACACAGGGTCCACACAGCCAGGTCATCATCCATGTCATCTAACAGTGACAAAATATTCTCTTAACAAAATAAGAATATTTCGTTGACAGTAAAAGAATATTCCCATGACAGAATATTCTTTATCAGAGACAAAATATTTCTTCCCTGAGTCAACACGGTCGGATTAGTTTTTTGGCCAACTCACTGATTTTTTGACTGGTTTAAGGTCGAGTCAAGTTGGTTCCTAGCATTTTCAACCATTTTGGACGTAACCGTGGTGTTTGTTTTGTGAAATAGCACATCAAAGTTACTATTTTGGCTCGTTTGAGCATAAAAGTGCATGTTGTAATAATTTTAAGAGCCTATTTGTAATCCAAAGACGTCCTAATGGTTGATATTCTACAAGAAAAATTTGCGGGAAATGCTAGTATACCTTCACAATATATCCTAGAGGATATATCCTAAAGGGGGTGGACAAACCTGATGGCAGAAATGATGTTGACGACGATGGCAGACACTTCCAGTGATACTAGTGGTGGTGCTGGTGGCCGGTTTGGACAATAGAATTGATGCTATGGAGGTCGGCGGAGGAAGAAAGAAGAAGAAAAAAAACTCACAGCAGAAGGAAGGAGGAGCGGGAAAAAAAAGAGAGGAAGTCACGGTGGTTGCTCTGCCACTAAAGAGGAGCTAGGTTGATGGAAATGATAGTGGCAAGACTAGTGGTGGCTGCTGGAGGCCACGACGGAGAGGAAAAGGAAAGAGAGGGCTGGTTGCAGGAAAACTAGGCCGGAAAAAGCTGATTTTTTGCCAACTTTGGGTTCAATTTTCTCCACCTCCTGAGCATGAAATTTTTTCCTATTTATAGGGATAGAAAGAGGGTAATCTTGTCTTCAACAAGGAAAAATTCTTAGCCCTCTATTCAACTCAAGGAAACCAAGCTGTTGGTTCAAAATGTGTACCTCGAACTGCCAAATTTGGCAGTCCAAGGTTGCAGACTGCACAAGGTGGTCACTTTGGGCCAATAAACGGAGCCGTTTCAAAGTTTTTTGACCCAATTGGACCATTCTCAGGGATAGAGGGGTTTCAGGGGGACATGTTGGCGCATGCATTGTTGGATTTGGTGGCCAAACGAGGTAGAAAATGTGCTTCGAAAGCTGCTACTCGGGCAGTGACACGACTAAAAGGTTGATGTCTTCTCCCAATTGTAGAAGTGTCAAAGTAATAAATAACCCGGCAAGACCGGGGTCGAACCACAGGGAGGTTAATTGTACAAATTATAAACGACAATTATAAAACAACAATAACAACAACAACACTAGTAGTAGTAATAATAATAATAATAATAATAATAATAATAATAAAGAAAAAGAAGAAGAAAAAGAAGATGATGATGAGAACTTAGAGATGAAATATTAATGTAAGGATTAAACAATAATAATAACAAATGTCAAGGTTAGAGGTTCTACTAATGGTATATCAAACAAGTATAGTATAAATTCTTATTATTGAATTGGAAACCACACACAAAGGAGGTTCCAATCAGATTATATATTGTTAACATGATTACATTAGTCATCTTATTCAATTAATGCTAATACTTGTAAATTACGTCAAGCATTCATGATTATAACTTATGTTAACAACAAATCAAGTTCCTTTCATAGCTCAGGTGTCGGTTATACCATACATTATGGGCTATGAAAGTGCCAAGCATTTGTTGTACCAAGTGTTATACAACATAAATCAAGATTAGTCAGTTAACAAGCAAAGTATTAAAGAGTGAACAAGATAACAAATATAAAACATGTTAGTATCAAACATTAAAATCCATATTAAGTTTACATTATACTTATTCTCACACCATTAGTGTAACCTTTTCACCTTAACATAACTAACTTAGCTAGACATAATGAAAGAAAGCAAAATAGATAAACAAAATAAGAACATAAAAGTTAACTAAGTAAAGGAAAGGAAATGAAAGGCATAAACTTAATAATAATGAAAGCAAAGCATAAACATTACAAAAAATACAAAGAGAGAAAGGAAGAGCATGATCTTGATCTGGAAACCAAGATGCCTAAATGCATGGCAAATGCCTCCTTTTATAGGCCAAAATTGGGAACTATTGATTTGATGACTAATTGATAAGTGGGTAACCAACTTTTGACTTGGTGACAATCCTTATCTTCTCTTGTCTGCCCAAAACGTCATTGATAACGTCAAAATTGGAGCTAGTTGCAAACATGAAAGTTGTAGGCAATTGTCTCAGCTTTCTTGTATAAAACATTCAGCTCATTTGGACTTCTAGAACTCCAGATATGGCCAAAATACCAAACAGTGCTCGGGCTGGAAGACAGATTCGGGCTTCTTTGTTGTTGCTACAATTTGGATTTGCAAATGGCCTTTTTAGATCTTGGGCTCCATATAAAATTTGTAGGCCTATGTCTTACCTTTTCATCCATATAAATTGGACCTAAATCTGAGATCTGTAGCTCCAGATATGACCCAATTACCGAACAGTGTTCTGGTTTGGATTGCACCGACATCTCTTTTCTAAATTTGGCCATCTCTTTATCCTTGCAATTTAAGTTCTTTAAGTCATCAATCAATCCTTTCATTTATGTGATAGGCCTGCATTAAAAATAGACATTTACCACAAATTATAGGTATCTTATATTATTAGATACATTATTATAAAACATATTTTAGTTAAGAAGTTATTGATACTTCAAGTGCAAAATGATGATATAAAACCATGATAAAAATGCACTTTTAAGTACTAATCAGGCAGCTTTGTAGGGAAGAAGATAAACAATAATCAGGCAACGCGTCGCCTGGTCCCTCCCCTTGTTTTTTTTTTTTTAACACATAAACAACGTCGTTTTGGATAAAAAATTAGGGACTTTTGCTGATTTTCAATTTAGTCCTCTAGCTTTCAATTTCTTTCAATGTAATTCCTCAATTGACCTTAAACTTCTGATTTAATGCAATTTGGTCCGGCTTAACCTCAACTTCATCCCCAGATTTACGTGCCTTTTGCAATATGGTCCTTGGTCTTGAATTTATGCAATTTCATCCCTAATTGACCATTAAACTTTTAATTTCTTCTATTTGAACCCTGGATTTTGACAATTAGACCCCTATAGTTTGACGCCTTTTGCAGATTGGTCCTTCGCTTTGGATTTTATCAATTTAACCCCTAATTGGCCCCAAAACTTTAATTTTATTTCAATTTGGCCCTTGATTTCAATCAATGAACTTGGAAAAAATTAAATTTGGTCTCTTAAAATTCCAATCGTATCAATTAAGCCCAAATTAGGCTCCCAAACTTAATTTTTTCAGCAATTAAGCAGGTATTTGTTCTATTTATTTTTTTTA